CATCTATGCTAAACGCAACTAGGATACACAATCTATGCCACAATGCAACTTGGATACACAATCTATGTCACAACATAACTTTAAATCATAATATGATAACAAAAACCTAAGATACAATAACACAAGAGGATACAACATCCAAATCACAAAAGACAAAACATCAAAACACACAAAGTATCCAAATCACAACGCACATAGGATACAACACACAGGTCACAAAACACCTAGGATACAACACCCAAGTAACGGCACACCCCAGATACAACACCCATGTCACAACACATGTAGGATACACACAGATAAAATTGCTATGTGACAAAACTCAAATGATAAACTTCCCTAGGATACAATATCCATGTCACGACGGACATAATATACAGCACCCAGGTCACAACGCACCTCTTAAAAAAGATACGACATCCAAGTCATACATACACCAAGTATACAACACTCTAGTAACAACAAACCTCAGAAATATCACCAATTAACAACACACCTGAGACGCGACATCCATGTTAGGTTGCAACACAGATATAACATCCATGTTAGTCTAAAACACACATAAAACACCCTTATTACAAAACACCTAGGATACAACATCTATGTCACGACTTACAACAGACATCACCAATACCACCGTATACTCTAAAACATCTAAGAAAATAATGATATACCTTTGATGCAATCAAATGGAATTAATGGCACTGCACATGTAAGATACAACACCAAAGTAAATATAGGTCAACTATAAAGGGAGAAATTAGACTTTAAGATTAACCTGACACGGAAATGTAATTTAAATAACATTGCAACGAACCTCCTAAATGATTGGGTATTTAGTATAAAAAGTGTCAAATGAATACATAAATCATCCACATTAAAGACTGGTACTCAAAATTCGATCAATCATCAATTACAAGAATACCCTTCGCTTCAGGCCAAACGATGTCTTCTTGTAAACAGTTACAGTTTGTTATTGGCTTAGTTTCATTTTTTAACCCTTGAATTTAGTCTTCAAATATTACACAAAACACAACAATGAAACCTTTAATGACAATAGACGAGACACATACCAAACTATGAGGAAATATGTGCTGAACTGCTTTTTCCCATAGAAAATAAAATATCCTATGCTCACTGTTCATAAAATAAAATAAAATAAACACATAAATTTAAGAAGAAAAATAACTTCAAATATATATTGCAGTTTTATAAATTTTGAAAAATAATCAGAAGGTCTATGCGTTACAAATTTGCAGGTGCGCTTCAGCAAATGCAGTAATTGCCTGAATCCCAAGGCCATATTGAACTTGTTGCGGATATCATTTACTGTCTTGGATGTCTAATTGGACAACAGTGACAGTGTCATGCCATGAATATATTTCAAAATATAACTCATGACTAAATAAATAGTTTGTTTACAAAAAATGTTTACAAATTATGTATGCAAATATATCATACCATTATTAAATCAAAATGTGGATCAAAAAGTGTTGGAAAAGTGTCTGCAAAGCGTTGACACTTACCTGAAGTTTACGAGGCTTGTTCAAAACAGCACTATTTAAAATGACCGAAAAGATCGTTAATGCAGTATGGTTACCTGCTGATGTTAGCGACACGTCAAATACTGTCTAGTGACAAGTCAGGTGTGACAGCGAGATGATAAATACGTCACCTTCGGCCATAAAATAAACCTTACTGCAAACGGTATCACATAGAGAATACAGCGCTGTGTATAGATCTTTTGTACTCGTAATATCAGAATAAAATCCGTAATAGCCACTAAATATCAATAAATACAATGCCCTCTTGTAGTGAATTATGATAATTCCATTCACGTTTCCGTTAATATGAATATGAATATGAATATCCCTAGTTTCAAATCTCGAGATATTTTAATATCTGAAAATTTATCACGATTTGATGCAAATAACTTATTCAAATTTTATGCAAAAACTATGCAATTTTACATCAAAACAACAACATTTTTATGGTATCGCTGGGAAATCTCAACGTATTCCTGATCGTATCTTGTTTAGATAAAGTAAGTATTGTCTTTCTAAGTAAGTACATGTGTTGTTATACTAATGAAGTAACTATTGCCATAGTTGTTTGTATGGTCACATTGGTTACAGTCAGTATTGTCATACTAATAAAATAAATATTGTCATAGTAACTATTGTCATAGTTGTTTAAGTAAGCATTATCATATTGGTTGTTTAAGTCAGAATTGCAATTTGGGTTAAAGTAAGTATTGCATTGGTCGAAGTAAGTATTGTCATAGTTGTTTAGTTAATAGTGTAATATTGGTTACAGTAAGTATTGTCATACTATCAAATATTATTGGTTACAGTGTTAATAGTGTAATATTGGTTACAGTCAGTATTGTCATACTATCAAATATTATGGTTACAGTGTTAATAGTGTAATATTTGTTACAGTAAGTATTGCCATACTAATAAATTTAGTAACTATTGTCATATATATTTAGTTGATATTGTAATATGGGTCAGTATTGCCATACTGGTTAAAGTAAGTATTTCAATATTGGTATAAGTAAGTATTACAATATTGGTATAAGTAAGTATTGTCATATTGGTATAAGTAAGTATTGTCATATTGGTATAAGTAAGTATTGTAATATTGGTATAAGTAAGTATCGTCATATTGGTATAAGTAAGTATTGTCATATGGGTATAAGTAAGTATTGAAATATTGGTATAAGTAAGTATCGTCATATTGGTATAAGTAAGTATTGTCATATTGGTATAAGTAAGTATTGTAATATTTATTAAAGTAAGTATTGTCATGTTGGTATAAGTAAGTATCGTCATATTGGTCTTAGTAATTATTGTCATATTGGTATAAGTAAGTATTGTCATATTCATTGGTATAAGTAAATATTGTCATATTGGTCTAAGTAAGTATTATCATATTGGTATAAGTAATTATTGTCATATTGGTCTAAGTAAGTATTGTCATATTGGTCTAAGTAAGTATTGTCATATTGGTATAAGTAATTATTGTCATATTGGTCTAAGTAAGTATTGTCATATTGGTATAAGTAAGTATTGTCATATTGGTATAAGTAAGTATTGGCATAATGGTATAAGTAAGTATTGGCATATTGATTGAAATAAGTATTGCAATATTGATTAAAATGTTATATTGATTAAAGTAAGTATTGTAATATTGATTAAAGTAAGTGATTAAAGTAAGTATTGTCATATTTGTAACAGTAAGTAGGCCTATCATTTTACTCGTAACAATAAGTATTGACATATTTGTAACGGTATGAATTTTCATATTTGTAACAGTATGTATTATCCTACTCGTAATATTGTCAAAGTAACTATTGTCATATTCGTATTAATAAGAGTGTAAATATTGTTATGTCGTTTACGTCGAGTGTCATATTATTCAAAACAAGTATTGCTCCCGACAATACAATTTTAACAGAGATGATTTCAATTTCCCAATTTCGATTGTTAATTTTTTCTTTTCATTGGCAGCAATATTCTTCAATCTCAATTTATTCTCTGTGTTTTTCATAAGATGAGCTTTCGGCTTAAAATAAATTATAAACTTCTAAACTTCTCACACATAGCTTTTATCTTCGCAATTGGAAAACTTTTCGATCGACTTCACGATTTCATTGATAAATACAATAATCTTGTATCTTTCATGATATCAAATTTGCTCAACGATGAGTTTACTCCGTGATAACTAATAACAGATCTAAGAGTTCTGATAGGCCCCGTATATTTACGCTAGCACAGTTACTTCCCTTGATATATGGAATTTGTTGAGTGACATAGCCTAATTCAGTGAGTTATATATTTAGAAACAACGGGGTAACGTTATACAGGTGGCTCTCGTTATATGATATAAAAATACATGTCATGTTTGTGAGCAGCCTCATCAACAACGAGACTTATTTTAACGTTATTGTCAGTCAGTATCAGAGAATTCCAGTCCTTTTTTTTTTTATATCTGTTGACATCTCTATTTTACAAGATATTTATATTTATAATTGTATAATAACCATAGAGTAATATATCTATTATAACTCAATGATAATAACCTAGTTAATTTGCAAATAATTCATTCATAAGGGGAGGCAATCAAAGATAGTGAAAAAGATTAAGACAATACACGTTTCCTCCGGTTCTCTCTTAAACTTTTTAATGCACACTTTCTAATTTTATAAATGAAATCGTTTATTTGACTATATCATTGGTTGAACATAGTACATTTGCCCATATTGCATTATTAAATACTTTGTCTCTGAAATTTCTAGATTAATTCTTAAAGATGGGTTTCCTTATTTTCTAGTGTCAAATTAGGTAAACTAATTGATTAATTAGTGTTTCTAATGAATTATCATGTATTCTTAATCATATCATTATGTTCTTATTGCATAGAAATAAGAGTTTTAACCAATCATAAATGTCCATGTATGTCAATTCTGGATAAACAAAAAAAGACTTTTTGACCTTTCTTGATCGGTCACTCATTGGAATTCTGCTGGTAATTTTCTTTAGCAAATTGTGATTTAATTATGGACATGTGACACAAACTGGTATTTTTCCAAGTCATTAGAACACTTCTACTTTCTATTCATATAAGTATTAGCATTTTCATTTTCATAAATGAAAATAAGGGAACTCATCTTTAAATGAGAGATTAATGATATGTATTTAGCCCTATACGCCTACATGGAATATAATGTAGCTTATGACTGAATTAGTTACTATTCTGAATAGGCTAGATGTTGTTCCGATCCTTTAACACATAGATTGTATATGACGTAATGTTCTACTACAGCTGGTATTTGGAAAGACAATTTACAAATTTGTTTTTTTATAATAGACACGACTTATAAATCAGGGAGGTATATTAATATAATGTACATTATATCCCAAGGCTATGTGAAATCACTTAAAGATGACAATGATGCAAGTGTTTACTGTAGGTTAGTCGAGTGCATGTATTTCTAGAGCAAACCAACACCCACGCGCATAACTATTTATATTGAATCTTCGTCGAAATATCAACATCGGTCTGAATATAGTACACAACTCTTACAGTTTGATATATTAACATACATTCTGTATTGGCCTATTTCAAGTATTTACATTTCGTTTAACAGTAGACATCAATTCACTATTAGTTTAGAGTTGGTATAAATATCTATAAAGTTTACTATACAAGCATTAATTTGAAATAAATGGAATAAAAGAATTAGCAAGTTTATTTTGCCTTTTATTCTGTCCCTTTAAAATATATTGTTAGACACACTGAGGGCTTCCTAGTATCTATCATTAGATTGGAACCATAACCTGACCATTTAAACGGTAAAATTGGACCTTCATTTTGTACATTACAGTTACCATAAAATTCTCTGTAAAACTGTATGACCTATTAACAGTTTTTATTTGGCAAACATTCTTTTAATTTGCATCATTTTTCGCGACTACCAACTTATACACCATATTTGGTTTTCTTTTGCAAGATCGTAACCATTGAGGCAGGTGTAGATATGAAGATGATGATGTAATAGATTATAAATTAAGAGTAAACATATCACGTTGTTAAATTGTTTTCAAGGTTTCTCTGACATGAAAACATACACCGCCAGAGACATACACCACCTCTCATCAGATGATGTTCGAATGGAAGAACAACAATAACATCACGAATTCACTATCTCTGGCGGGAATCGTGTACTTTTGAGGCATAATTAGGTCTAGGTCTAGATTTCAGGTTTACTGGATGGTCGAACATTTTCAAAATGGAACATATATATTCAAGTTTAATGCATTTTTCCAATTATCGCATGTACGTACATGTTTTGATGATGGACCATTCGTGCGTATACTTAAGATACAATCAGGCGTTTGTGGGTATTTATTATATATGGCATAACTCACACGATGTTCATTGACCATCTCCACAGAAGTTAGTTCCATTAAATCCTCTATGGTGATTAGTACAAGGCGATTTAGATAGCGCCATCACGACTGCTTCTGATTATAGGAGATGGTGTAATATGCCCCTCGTTATCAGTGACGTTTCTATAAATAAGGTGGATGGGAAGAGGGTCTAGCAGGAACCATTATTGAAGTATCAATGGAGCTTACAGGCCTTTCATTTCTATGTAAATTGATCAAACGTTTGAATGTGGGAACAACTGGTATTTCTATAAGCCATTAGGGGCAAGTGACGTTTGTATGAATCTTTAAAGGAGGGGATGGGGAGAGGGGTGTGTTGGAGCGAGTACCCAATCTCGCATTATGGCTTTTCGCTGTTTATGTTCCTATTATTTCATCAAGAATGCTGGGTATCGGACTTCAATGCTGAGAAGAGAAAAATAACAGCATTGGTATACAACAACATGCTAACGAAATTTCTGACTTTGCATTTACATTTACAGTCCATTTTCTTATACAATCAAGCCTTGTTTCTCCGCCATTAGAATGATGTTATCGGCAGTGCGGTTGGAGTTTTTACACCTACCGTACAGAGGTTAAGAAAAATTAATCATACCAAATAATATCATCCAGTACAGTAAACTATAAACTAGAATCGATTGTATGAAACGTGGCATAATAACATCATCATTATTATGATGAATATGTTGAGTACCCATTGTTTATTATAGTCTGATAGGCCATATAGCATACTGGAAGTCACATCTACAAAATTAACTACGGGTCATGCTGCCTTCATTAAAATAAGAATATTACCATCTTTTGAATTCACGGCAGTGGTATTAAAGTATAAATGAAAAGCACGAAACGAGTCTAACATGATGCAAGTTTGAGTAATTAGCAGCAATTTGCAGTGTCTCAGAGAAATCTTACATTTGAAGTCAGCAAACCAGTTTGACTTTCCACTTTATACTGTAATTATGTCATTTTAGACTGATTTAACCGTTTATAAAGTCGAGAGATAAGATCACAACTTTTTGTGGCAAAACCGGAAGTAGTATTTTTGGCACTTGTAATTAGCAATATCCATACCAGAACAGATTTTTGTTTGGTCTGCCGAACCGGAAGTATATTCATCAAACACAAAGGCACATTTCTTTACAGGGCACAATCTAATATTTGATATGATACGTACAGATCAGCTGGTATTTCTGAAATCCCATTTCAGCAAATCAGTTCTAAGGCTAAATTATTATTCCTGTACTTATCTGACATACAACCTTTGAATATTAAAGTGGTTAAAGAATAAACACTGTGGTATTTAGGTAATTATCAATAAGCCTGTATACTGATAATTTAAAGTAGCCCTGTCTGAAAATTTGACATTTTCCAGAAACAAAAACCGCTGAATTGGTTATAAATTACATCCATGTGTTCTTCAACAGCAAAGCCAGCAAAGTTCAGAAGACCCATGGAGATGGAATTTTCTGTTAATTCAAAATAGTTGATATGGTTTATTAGTGTGTGTTTATTTGAAAACCTGCTTCCGGATGCCGATCTTTAGATTCGTATAAGTTAAAAAATTTAAATCCAAGTTTATAAAATAAAAAATTGAGTAAAATGTGCCACACCCCAGTTGAAATGAGTCAATTAACAATAAGTTGATTCAGTTGTACAATGATAACAGGAAGACTCGTCAACTTGCGAGAATGTCGGTACAAGTGGTGATATATAAATACAAATAACGCCTTCAAAATCTATTTTTAGAATGCATTTGGTACCGCAGTAAATGATTTACCGTGCCATGAAATCAACACTTATTTCCTACTACAGTAGTAACACGCCAAAACTAAATTTGACTTCAGAAGGGTTAACCTTAGTAACCATGGCAATGACTGGGTTCGGTACCTGTTCTTTAATCTGATTGGTTAATTCCGCGTGGAGTAGAAACTTGTTAAACAGACTGGTACAAAGTTGGTGATCAAGCAACCGGCGTCCTGAGTGAAGCGCGATTGGTTTTGATTAGAGATTCCGTGGACTTAATTTTGCCAAAATGGCTTCACTGAGAAGTGCCTCTACCTGGCTGAAAGTGGCCTTTGCTTGTTTGATTATTGCTGTAATTTTGTTCATAGTTGCATTCGCCACCTCGGCCTGGGTATCTTATCATTACCGAAATGATTACCAATCTATTGGATTATGGAAAGGCAGACACTGTACTGGAAACTTTTGTACCGAAGGAAGATTTAGGTTTTCATTTAACTATGGTAAGATTTCTATTAATATTCATAGTTTTATTGTAGCAATTCATCATTACTTTTGTCTGGGACACGAGTCTGGACCAGCAGTAATCGGTAATTCATTACAGACACAGTGGGAAATATATCAATTAAAAACATCACTTGGACAGTGGCATACACACATACAGATGCTCCATTTGACGATTTGAATTATTGGTGGAGTACTATACTGTACTCCAAGACCAACGTATATTAGATAAATGTATTTTGTAATGTAATACATCTAAGTGAAGTATGACTCAAATTAAAAACTGTAATTGGATTGACTTGTTTGGTCAGATTGCGACTTGTTCTGTTGAAGAGCTGTGATATGAATAATGTATACTGTATCTGAAACTCGTTATTCTGTAGGTAACAAGAGTTAAAAAGTCATTCTTTGAATTTAGTTGACTGTGTAGTTAAAAATCTATTCATTGAAATTACATGTGCCCGTGTATTAAATTTTCATTTTAAATCTCTAGTCTTTGAATTAAGTTGACTGCGCAGTTGATATCTATTGGGGTTAAATTGAAATTATTATTGCATATGTATTTAAATGTTCATTTTATATGCATAACCATATCGTTATGATAATAACAAGATTTATGATATCTAGTAATATCTGGCCTTAAAGACTTGTATCGCATAAATTTCTGCAAAATAAGCATTTTTATATGAGTATTATCTTATATAATATAATCAGCAAATAAGTGTAACACACTGAAAAAAGATAGAATTGTGCAGTTCACTTTGAGTTTCAAACGGGCTCTACTACTTATAAGGTTTTGTTTTGTACAGATCTAACACTGTCTAAAATCTAAGTCTAAAATACATCAATAAAGCAGTATTTGACAAACCAACAACTACCAATCCTGTGCAGACAAATCCAGACTGGTGATTAACGCCAGTCCAATTAATCATCTGGACACGCCTGTAATGTCGTTATAAAATTCCCTTTACACTCAACCCAGCCCTTCAACTTCCCATCTGGAATAAGTTTGATGTATTTCTCACGACTAAAGCTGTGTATTTAGCTTGAGCTAGTGGAATGTCAGTAGTTGAAATGTGATACTGACGATAGGTTTTTGAGTTTCAGGTAGTTGATGATCTTACAGTGCAGTAGATCGTGTAATCTATGGGAACTTGGCTGTAAACTGTTTAAAATACACCATTAGTTCGACTTAAATATATATAGACCCAAATTTTGTTTAGCTTTTTTTCTGTTGGGATTCTACCATCTGATGAATCTGAAATCGAAACGATATATTTTATCTGTATATCAATGAATAAAGTATTTTTTCACAAGTATGTATAGTTCATATAATAAACAGTGAATCATAACAACCAGTGAATGGTTTATGTATGAACTATTTCCGCCTATTTCAGAATGATCTTCCGTACTAAACGTGAAACATTCACCCAGGCAAATACTTTATAATCAATGAGCTCATTGACTTAACACAATTAAGAAATTAGCACAAACAATCAGGGGTATTATCGCTGCCTTTAGTATGACTAAAAACCGAATTGCTGTATCCATGTTAGGAAGGTGCTAGATGGTTACTTGTAAAATTCGAGGGTAATGAGTCGAAATGACTATCACAGGTGGTTTTGTTCTGACTATGAAAGTTTTCAGTAGACAGAATGAACCTAAATTTAAGTTGTTCAGAAGTTTAGAATGTTAATAAAGGTCGAATAGGTAACTTGATACGTGTCTGATTTAAACTAGGTACTGAAGTAGTCGAACGAGTACTGATAGTAGCTGTAAGTTGTTTAGTATGCAGTCCATTTACTACCAAAAATAGAGTATTCTGTACTGCCCATGGTTCAGTGACTATAATTAGTTGGTATGTCTACTGTAAACAATATGTCATCAGGTCTTTACATTGCAATAAATCTGCCCAATTAAAGTTTCAAAATAAAGTTCTGCCCTAATGTTTGACCAGTATCATATTACATACATACACATCTTTATGACCTCTCTTACAATAACTTTTCTTATTGGCGTATGAATAGACTTCGCCTATGGACCCCACTGAGGCCCCCCCACCCCACCCCCTAAGTGGGCCACAGACCCCACGCTGCGACTGTCGCTTCATTCGGTATGAATGTATGTCCATAATGAGTTGCTGTTTCTGTCTAAATGTATTTTACTGTAATATAAAACACTTTTATACCTCGGGGACCCATCGACCATCTATGGCGCTTCAGCAATTTCAGTCATGAAAAGCAGCGATTTAGTTCATTTACTTACTTACCCTATTTTAGACTGCTAATTTTATGAGCACAGATTTGAAGATTTGGATGCATTTCCTACAAGAACTTATTCATAAAAATATTACCGGGTACTGTCAAATTATGAGTAACAATCTATTTATCTGAATAAATACGTTAGCCTCCAAACTTTTTATATGGTTTTGAAATGCTAAAACTTTGCAACTTTTTAAAAATTGCAAAATTTGATCACATATAAAAGTGTGTTTCTATAGTGGTTAGATTTGTTTGTTGATATTCCTGATTGATAGGATTCTGATTTCTGAAATTTTCACGACTATCTTCTTTTCAAAGAACAGAGTTTTGCTTAAGAGAACCAAAATTTCAAAATTAATCTAGTGAAGCAGGGCTCTATACTAAATTTAGAACATGAAATGTAATACCAGGGTGCCAAAAACAGGTCAAGTTATAGTACCTTCTTAGTGAGGTATTATCAATTGGTGACAAGGTGCAATATAAATTTGTATCATATCTGTCAAAGAGTAATGAACCATCACATTCCAGTTTTGGATGTAATGGCCGCCAAGTGGTAGTAAAAGTTAGGACTGTATGTTGCTATTACTTACATTGGATGTACACATATGTTTCACAGCATATACTACAACATGTATCTTGTTTATTTATTAATCTGCTCTGATAAACATATATTTGTAGATGTCATGGGTTGTTGGTGATCTTTGTAAAATATGTGATGTTTACAATTGATGTTATCACTGTGGTGCCCAATGACAATCTAATCATGCAGTAGTAGACACACAATTAATTAGAACTACAACCCTTTTCCGTTAAATATACATAAAAGGAACTGGCCGATAGATCGAAATTGATGTGGTGTTGATAGGACAAATGTCTTTGGTCACTGAAGTATTCATTACAGCAGAAACGAACTTTGGTACAGCTCCCACGAAATCCCGTAACATTCTTTTTAAAAGTCACAAAAACACATACGTCAGATGGTGGTTTCATAAACATTAGTTAACCATATATTTATATTTATGCCATTATTTTTAGATATACCATCAACGATGATGTAGTTTGTTACATGAATGTAATGATACGAACCTCGAAACGTCCTCACCCTTATTTTTCAATGATCTGCCAACTGTTATATGTTTATACATTTCAGATTTCCACCATGCTGTCCAGGCTTTGGAATGTTTAGGATTAATTTTCATCCTCCTATCTCTTGTTGTTCTTATATTATATATATTTGTTGATTCGTGTAGAAGAAGAAATGCTCTAATCGCCATTATTGTCTTCATTTTCTTATCCGGTAAGTAGCCATCTTTAAATATTTTGAGAGGGAAGCACCGCATGCTACTGGGTTACAAGGTCAACTTGTTGGTAGTTCTGACAACTAAACCCTTCCATAGTCAGTGTACCGTTGTTATAGGTTAATATCCTACTCCAATTCGATTACAGACTTCTTTATTTTTTCAAAGTCCATTTCATTTGGTACACCCATGCCGACAGAAAATTTTTTTTTATATATTTCCTGACTGGTACAAGCTAGACTACAAGATTTTCGATGATATTGTCGGTTTATGTACTTTTACCAAGAAAGTCAGTGCCGCAGTGGGCATTGGAAGGTCATTATGTTATGTTCCCGTACTGTACTCTTCTAGAGAAGAGCCGATTGATAGCTTCTCTCAATGGAGTAGAACAGTAATTTAACTACACTTTATAGAGTTGAACAAGGACAAACTTCTCTTAAGAAAACCATCGAACAGTATCGAAGCAGCTGCACCTCTTGTAGTTCTGGGGTTATGGGTATAGGTCCCTTTCTCCTTGTGATGTATTTCTTCTAAATTATGTTTTGTATTCTCAAAGGTAGACATGTTGTTAATACCAAACATATTCATTAAAACATATTTCAATTCATTCACAAAGGCGGGAAATGTCACCTCTTGGCCAGTAAATTATTTTTATAGTGCTATACTGTATAGTATTTAAGAGTTATGGCTTTGTAGAATGTCATAATGGTACCACGTGTTTCACCAAGGCTGATAAATGTCACGGGTTCGTTTGTATTTAATGTACAACATATGCATATCGTAAATTGTAAATAAACCAGAATACACGACTGGAGAATCTAAATCACAGATTTGTCAAAAAAGGTGATCAATCGGTACATCTAAATAATTATTCCGAACAGTACAGAACATGATTATTACACTCTGAAACCTCTGTAATGCTAATATTAGACTCTGACACCCCCAGAACATGATTATTAGACTCTTGACACCTCTAGCACATGATAAATTTTCTGAAAAACATATATTTATACAATGTGATTTTTTCTATTTTCAGTGTTCTTCATCGTTGTTGGTATTGCTGTCTGTGCTAGTAAATACGAAGATAGAGGATTCAGCATTGCATGGTCAATGGGATTGGCCATAGCGGCAGCCATCTTTGATTTTGTTGCTGGAGTTATGTGTGTGCTCCAAATTATCAACGTCTGAACAAACAACAACTCTATATAAATTTCAAGTGCCATCTCAATTTTCAGTCCAAATCTTAAACATGTATATCTTCTATTTATTTTGTTAATTATTCATTTGAAATTCTTTTACCTCAACCGCCAGGCTGTTGAATGGACTCAAATGTTCGAATGATATTCGAGCTTGGTCTATTTGTGAGGTGTTCAACTCATGAAATTTACTAATGTTTGAAGAAATGTCTTTTCTTGTATGGAAACTTGCATGGCTTTAAGTTACGTAATCATAAAATCGTTATTCTTATACCGACGAAGACACTAGTGTATACTGTTTTGAAACGAATGATTTCACTGTGATGTCACGTGAATGACGTTCTTATAAGTTTACCAAGTTTACCAAAAAGAAGATATAGTGATGGCAAAATACAGCATGTAAGACTAACAACATCATGATTCAGAACGTATTTAGCAACCTCAAAAGCTAAGCAAAATATTATTTTATATAGTTCTTTTAAGTTAAAGCTATCATGTTGGCTAAAAGGGGAGACATATGCTTTGTTTTTATGTCCTGTCCTTTTTCTCAATGATGGTAGTTTGAATATTTGTGTTTTTATTAGCATGTAGAATGAATCTAGGTAGAATTCAGAACGATTTAACCACATTTTGTATTTGAAATACTAATATTTTGTCTTTTGTTATACTAGTACATCTGGAACGGATTTCCTTGTAACTTAAAAGTTAAAGGAATTCTTTCCTTAAAGTTTAGACCTTGTTATAAGAAACATCTTAACTTTAGATTTATGAACCAAAACTATTGGTAAGAAATCTGCTGATTCTGGATTGATAACGACCAATCACAAAACTCAATACCACACAGTGAGCAGAATCTAAAGTTAAGATGTTTCTGACATCAAACTCGCTATTTTTACTATCTCAGGACGATTTCAGCAAGCCTGAATACAAATAATAACTCTTTTATAAGTCGAAAGCATCGACTTAAGACACCATGGAGCTCTTGCTTTACCTGCATTGTGTAAAGGATCCAACAAATCGAGTTGGATATGATGTTATTACAACTCAATGGTGTACATACATCAATTCACAGATGTCTCCGTAGTGAGTTTTCTGGGTATTTTTTCTAACAACTATAATGTTTTGTTGATATATAGCTGTTTCTATTTTCTATTTTAAGGTGTTTTTGTATGTTTTTTCTATATAAACTCATCTTCATAACTGTCTAGTTTTTTCCCCAATGATTGATGGTTATCTTAATTCAGTGAAGGCTCGGGAACAATACCTTTCGTTTCTGATATAAGTACAAACCAAATCTCAAGAATGAGGCTAGATCACACCTACATGAATTCATGTTCCTTGTTTAAAAAGGAATTCTTATTCAGAGGGTATCATCTATAGAGTTATAATATTATTTAACTTTTTGGAGTTACTCTGAATTACAACAAGTACTTGTTATAGCTACTCACTGTGTAGGACTTGCAAGGTACTATTTTGAAGACGTATAGTGAGAGTTTTTGAGAAGACCAAAATCAGATTAGCCGTCGTCATTTTAATTGGTTAAATCTCTAACGATTTTTTATTGTAGATGAACTGAGTGAAAGTCATTGGCCAATAGCCTATTCGTGATCTCTTTAAGTGAATGTAAGTATTTTAATATCTCATGACCCGGCGTGACCCAGTATAATAGCTGTAAATCACGAGTATGTCACTCCGTCAGTAGGTCAATGATAAGATGAAAAGGTACATATCAAATGTAAATTTCAAATATCAATGAAAATTTAAAACAGAGCTTTTTCGGCATTCTCATCCTTCGGGAACCCCTGATCTATTTCGAAGAGTACAGTACTGCACATAACCAGCAACCAAACGTCTTGTAGACAATAAATATCGCTTGCAAAAGCAAAATATCTATTTGTGGTATGGTGACACGTGAACCCAGCACAACACAACTGAGTTCACATATTATTATAGCAAGTTGTATGGTTGTTAATAACCAGATAGTTACAGAATGCATGTGTATTAGAAAATAGTCGTATCTCTTACATATTTTCAACAGAAGATATAAATATAGCAAGTTTAGGATAATTTGGCAAGATTACAAACTTTCACTGTATACATTATTTACACGCATTATAAATATGCTGAAACGTTATATTTTATATTATCATACATAACTGCAGATATATCTTACTGGAATTCTTCCACAACGAATGTTTACCCTGCCAAAATAATTTCTCATAATCTGACGGGCTGACGTGCGTATAGCCAACATGGTTTGTAATAATGGCCACCTAAACTCAAATCGGACCACATTGATGAAAATCATAAATCAAATGAGCATCAGCAAATGTGGAAGGCCACAATTTGTTTGACAGGGTTTTCAGTGCATGTATGCATAATGCATAATGTGAATAAGTTAAAGCAAAATTGGTGGCAATCCGTCACTTCTGCATCACTGCCATTATGAAGTTAAGAAATTTTACTTCCCCAGTCATGACATATTGAGTAATCTCTGTACACATCAAATAAACGCGATCCACGAAGGAAAACTACCTTTATGTCTGATAATTAGCCACACAAGAACTGACTCTATCCACTTATAAACAGCCTCTCCCCCTTTTATTAACTGACAGCTTGAAATATGAGTTTCATGGACAATAAAATTTTAAATAAATAAATGTGATGAATCAAATAAGCAAAGTGAACAATTAAAAGTGAATAATTAAAACTCATATTTCTATGTATATAAAATGAAATAACATATTGGGCTTAATTATTATAACAAATCGGCCTAAACACAATCTTTCATCATCAAAAACCCAAAATCGCCCAGGAAAACGGCTTTAATTCAGAAACCTGCTTCCAAACGCAATACAGTCAGAATCTCCGAAAGAGTTTAAATGTGAGAATATCTCACGTTGATCTTTGCAAGGCAAAGATAAAAAAACTGAATGGTATAAAAGGCGCGAAATGTAGAGATTACCTACAATGCAACCAATGAAAATCAACTTAAAAACAACCAATAGCAGATTACGATTCAAAACATATTATCATCAAACCTTTTTATGAAATATATGAAAATATCCATGAACCAATATGGTTCAACAAAATTAACAATGATATCATCACTGAATCATTAACAGGAATAACATGTCATCATATCTTCAAAACTTTCTGGCTTCTTGATAATCCTCCATGTTGACCCACTAACTAATATTTCTGCTGCTCGTCCCTGAAATGTAAATTATAACTGAATTATATAACGTCAGAAGTATACAGCTTATCTTTGTTAAAACGTGTATTTACTCATAGAAAAGTAAGTAATCCGTGTTTTATGAACCTCGTTTGGTTTTGTTCATTATCTAAACCAAGCATTTATATACCGAAGAGATTTTGAATCCAATGATATATGACTATTCTCAGATCATGGATTGTCAGTGGAGTAATGCACAGAAAAAAGTGATTTCAGGTTGGGTTTAATCTGATTAATATAATGATAATAGTCATAATTATTATAAAGCAAATGCCACAGAAATACAAGGGCCTCATTATTGGAATGATAAATATTTTCTTTTCCTCTAGAACACACAGTGGATAACTTTGGATTAAATGTAAGTTATGTGAAGTTGAATTTGTTTTCTGACATGTAGGTCACGAATTAGAAATAGATTACACAGGCGTTTTAGAAAAAAAACTTCAGTAGTTAACATCATATCACCTTATCATTTCTCCTGAATGTATTTTGGCTAGCATCCAGAAATGAGGTCATAAATTGAAGCGGTTTCAAGGTAACATACTTAAAGAACTATGGTGGGTGAAGTGTACCGTTAGGTCAATTAATATGGTAGTATGTGATTAGCCTTAATATTTGAGGTATGTAAAGATTTTGGGGATCGGATGAAATAGTGTTTGCAATCAATACTAATTCTAACAATAATTGGATATAGAGTCAGTTATATGAAGGGAATTTTAATCAAAACCAACGACTTACATTTGGAAAACGGGATATTTTAACAGTCCACCAAGAAAAAAACAGAGTTGGGGAAGCAAGTCCTGAATATGCAACAATTTTATTAACATTATGGTTTTAACGAGCCAAGTCAGCCAAATTATCTACAAGTCGGCAAATTTAACCAGCCACCTGAACTGACTACTAGTAAGCTATATTTTAATGATGAAAGAAGTGGCATCACGAGAATAACCTTTTTAAATGTAACCTAATCTGAGAGGGAAGGAAAGGTGTAGCCTGTATAAAGAATATTAACACAGTCAGTCATATTAGTGGAGCCTGTAAATCAATATAATTGATAGTTTGTAGCTGTTGTTCATTCACGATCAAGCTTACATCACGATTTGGTATATATTACGATTTAGTTTACATCACTATTTAGTTTATATCACGATTTAGTTTACATCACGATTTAGTTTATATCACAATTTAGTTTATATCGCGATTTAGTTTATATCACGATTTAGTTTACATCACGATTTAGTTTATATCACGATTTGCTGTAACACCTATTCATAATGCCTATGTAAATTCTAATATTGGCAGGATTTTTATTTTCGTAATTGCTCGTGATTCCCTTATATTCTGGAATTTTCATTCTCCATACGGCACCGAAACCGCTGTTGTTTCAGATTTCTCGTGGACATTATATTTTTCAGATTGTCTGGCTGGACAATAGTTTGCTCCATTGCAATGATGTGCCAGATTCAATCGGCCATGGACAAATTATTACCTTATTTTGCTAATAATGGTGAAAAAGAACTTTACCCTTAGATTATAGTTGGAAGCCATACTGTAACAATAAGCACCAACATCCCATATAGCTAGACCACACCCAACATGAGGCGTGTTTAAAAATCTCTCCTGAAACAAAATAAAACGAAAACATACCAAAAAACGTGACAAAAATAATGTAATAAAACCTGCATCTTTATAAAGGAAAGGATAGTATTCCAAATACGAAGATCACTCTGAATGGCTCAGAAAAGAGTGTACTAATGGGAAAGAGTGGGGTTGTCTTTGAAACTCAACCAAATGACACAGATAACGAGGAAATGGTTATCGACACGAGATACAGAAATTTCCAAGAAAATATCCAAGATGCAATCAGGTAGAGAAGAACTCAATAACTTAACCCTTCACTGGACTGTATCGCTTGGTTCTCAATTAAAAGAAAGCCTTTCACTTATACAAAATATTTAGGAGGACTATAAGGAATAAGTTTACCTTTCCAAGGAAATCGGCTGATTCACAAACGGGACCGACAACATTGTACAGATAGCGTCTTGAGTGTCGGGAAGGTTCTATTAGATCTATATGATGATAAGATCCATATAAACTTGGTCTGATTACTTCAGTCATAGAACCAGTAGTTATAATGAACCTAGAATAATACAAAAATACACATCTGAGATCCAAGTCTGTGTGATCTCTCCCAAAAGGCATGCTGGCTGGTATCAAGTGTTCCAGAAGAGTGACCATGTAGTGCTACCAATAAAAGTCCCTATTTTACAGAGAAATCATAAGGCTAAAATACCCTTATTTTCCTCATCAGGTGAATAATTTAAAGCTTTGGCCATAAATTGGCTCACAATGTCAAGCTATTAAGAATTTAGTTTTATAACTTGACTGCATTAGCTACAATTCTTGTATCATGGAATGCAGCTTTTTGATTGGATTGTATGCAAGCGAATACAACCAATCAGAGCCTTTGACATAAAGATTGTTTATATTTTGGCATATATTTATACAGAGTTTCTATTGAGGCCTCTGTTTGGCTGTTTTCGTTTGCGTACAATCCAATCAAACCGCTGCATTTACAACCATCCGGAACATAAGAAAGGTGGCTATTGCAGTCAAGGTTTAAGATGAAGTTCGTAATAACTTGCTTCACAGCACGATATCCTTACCTAATATTACCGCTCTCCTTACAGCCCAGAACAGTGGACAATAACACCGCCGTATTGCCAACTATAGAACGACCAGGCTCTACTATAATGTCAAAAGATTTATCAAAATTTACTTCCTTTAATTCTCCAATTAAATCACCGGGATTCGGAAAATGTTCCTGAAAAAGATTGGGATTTTGAATCAATGTTGCTGTTAATGTTGAATAGCACAAAGTAATCTTAACATTCGAAGTATTACCATTAGATATACAGCAAAATAAGACTCGTAGGCGCGGCCTTTATCTCATTATTCTATCTCAATCCATTAGATTATCACTTGCAGGATGGACTTTATTTATCATGAGAGTCAAAAGGAAATGTAAGATGTAGTATAAGGCAGTTTGGGAATATCCATCAGGCGAGGAAAGACATTAAAAAACGTTAGAGTGTTACAAACCTTATTCAAGCTTTCTGGAAGATCTACATTCAATTCTGATTCGCCAGCTCTTAGGGTGTTCAACCAATGTGATCGGGTACATCTGAAATTAGGCGATAGAATAATTTATAACCATATGAACAAAAAAAAACATCAATCTCAGAAAATACCTTTCGTTCGTTCTACATATACTAGAATTGATTCCCTAAAGACTGAAAATGGTTTATCTTGGATCGAATGACATCCTGGCAATAGAATTCAGCTTAATATCATGGCAAAAAAAAAGATCTACATTCAATTCTGATTCGCCAGCTCTTAGGGTGTTCAACCAATGTGATCGGGTACATCTGAAATTAGGCGATAGAATAATTTATAACCATATGAACAAAAAAAAACATCAATCTCAGAAAATACCTTTCGTTCGTTCTACATATACTAGAATTGATTCCCTAATGACTGAAAATGGTTTATCTTGGATCGAATGACATCCTGGCAATAGAATTCAGCTTAATATCATGGCAATCTAGAACATAGAAATACTTGGCTATTTTCGTTTCATCCCTTCACGTCCCGTCAAAATCGAACACTGATTAGCAAACTTACAGGCAACTTTGAGATGCCAAGCAGGCATTTTATCTGTGGTCATAATGTAGGGTCCCTAAGAAAAGAAAAAAACTGAACAGAAAGCCAAGACGGAAACGAAGCAAATGTGGATAGTACAAATGCCTCACTCTTTGTTACTGTAAGACTGGTGAACGTTGCTCATCTGAGCTGCAATTCCATTTCTCCCACTTACAGATTTGATCCAGGTATTCACAGCTTCTAATTGGCTATCAGTCTCATGGTGACAGGATTTGGTATCATCACCCTGCAAGTGATAAAAAATATATGCATTGGCTATGTAGATACTCCGATGGGTATGCCGAGTTGTTGAACACCCGCGGCGGTACCTCTTTAAATACTAAACACTAATAAAGTTAAACACTATTTGATTATGATACTATCATTACTGACATCATCTTTGACGAAGATGAGAGTGTCGTTACTGACGATTATGACGATGCCACCATTAACAATGATAATGCCACCACTGACAACGGATCTTATAATATTGCCCCTGGTGATAATGATTATGATTCTACCACTGACATAATAATAATGCTGCCACCACTGACGTTGATGTTGATAATACGTCCACTAACGTTGATGTTGATAACATCACCACTGACAATGATGTTGATAATACTACCACTGACAATAATGGTGATGATACTACCACTGACATTAATGGTGATAATACCACCACTAACGATGATGGTGATAATACTACCACTAACGATGATGTTTATAATACAACCACTGACAATAATGGTGATAATACCACCACTAACGTTGATAGTGGTAATACCACCACTGACAATAATGGTGATAATACCACCACTAACGATGATGGTGATAATACTACCACTGACAATAATGGTGATAATACCACCACTGACGATGATGGTGATAATACCACCAATAACGTTGATAGTGATAATACTACCACTGACAATAATGGTGATGATACCACCACTGACAATAATGGTGATAATACCACCACTAACGATGATGGTGATAATACCACCACTAACGTTGATAGTGATAATACCACCACTGACAATAATGGTGATAATGCCACCACTGACAATAATGGTGATAATATCACCACTGACGATGATGTTTATAATACAACCACTGACAATAATGGTGATAATACCACCACTAACGTTGATACTGTTAATACAACCACTGACAATAATGGTGATAATACCACCACTGACGATGATGTTTATAATACAACCACTGACAATAATGGTGATAATGCTTACTTACTCTAGTATAGTAATCTATATTCAGTCCTCCACCAATATTGATACATTTGAGATTCACAAAGGGCAATTTATTTAAATCTACTGCAAGGTTCTTCAGATTATTCATACATAACCTAGAAAGAATTCTCAGTGTTGTCATGCACATCTAGATATCAGCATAAGGACATTTGACAAAATACCAAGAAATTACCCAATGTTTGGCGTGTTTCTTACCACGAACGTGCATTTTACATTAAGAAATTTAAATGGGAATGAGTTAGGCAAGCATGTTCTGGTGGAAGCAAGTGCACAACAAGAGATATCCAACTGTAATAATAGAGATGACCTGTTTCCAGATATCTGTCATGTCGATGAGATTGGAACGTTCTGTAAAGAATTTCGGGATATATTGAAGCAGTTCCTACCTAATGGCAACAAGATCTTCTATAGTTGACCCCAGATGACAATGTAATCCAACTACGTTTATATAAGTTGTATTTTTAACTATATCTAGAATATTATCAAGTTGATCTTCATCAATACCAAATTTAGATCCCGCCATGCCTGTACTGACATATGGATGTACATTCTGAAAGAAAATGGACATATTGAGCTGATCTCAATCTAAACAGAAGCGTTACACCGATATTCAGCAATGATCAGAGAAGTATACCGAATTTAGATCTGCTCAGAATTGGGATGTTTTCTCACATGTGTTGAAGCGTATGCCATCATTTGAAGGAATGCCTAGTCAATTATCAGATTTGATGGGATGTGTTTCAAACTATTCAGAAAAAGGTCCAAAACCTCAAAACTGTTGAAGGATTTTCACTTTTGGAAAGTTGCAGACATTTACTGTATGCCCCGGACAGAAATAAGGAAAAGTTTAACAGGCCAAAATTGTATATAAAATACTTTTGTGTAATGTTACTTACTACATCGATATTTAGATTTATCCGCAGCAAAATATTGGCCTCGACCTTCAACTCGTGACAAACTTGTATTGCCTGCCGTAAATCAAAATCACTGTCTACATTAATCAAACATCCGGATTTCACCGCGAGGGTGGTTTCCCATCGCGTTTTACCATTACCATTCAATAGGATCTTCTTTGGATCAAATCCCAATTTCAGAGCCAGTCTCAACTCATTCCCACTAACAAGAGTCAGAGAACAGCCTGCGTCCTTAATGATCTTGAGTAATTCTGGATTAGAATTGGCTTTAATGGAATAATTCACTGTGGTCTGATTCGGTATTTGTCCTAAGGCATCTTTATATGCCTTGATGTTGTCTTCGAGCTGTTGCTGACTGTAAATAAACACTGGAGATGCTGACTCTGAATAACACTGCTCTAACTTAGTCTGTATATCCTTTAATTTGACATCCTCACAATGTAGATAGTTATTCCTGAATGTAAAAGCCATTTGACATTATTTGATTAATAAATGGCAAGTACACTGAATATATACTATATGTTATGTCACATGAATATAGGAGACCAAACCATACGACTTGTCTATAGTTATAACGTTTTAATACTATAAACCGAACAGAATGGACTTAAGGTTACAAAAAATTATAATTCTTTAAGATGGATTCCCACATTAATATATTACGTAAAGTGTTCGATCACATTTTTTTTAATAAATTGACTGTGGTCCTATGTTATAACGACACGCCCACTTGCTTTCAGATTGAAGAAATTCTGCCATTGTAATGAACTAATGTAATAATGTTTGTTTCGCTTTTTTATTGGAGTGGACTTAATTACTTGTCGTCCGTCATCTGACGAAATTATTATGCAACACACGTTCCCAGTTCTGTAAATATTCAACCAATCAAGTATCCTGTTCAATGAACTATTTACCCACATCACAGTGTCATTTCTGTGTTATTCATTGTAAAACAATTTGTTATTTTGATTGGTAAGAATAAATCTAGACAAAATTTAGATGCAACGATGTGAAGAATCACATTAGATCGTAGATGTCTAGCATGTAGAATTTGGTTTTGTACCAGATTGCCTTAAATTTCGTAATAATCCTAAAAACTTTCGTAAAAACACGGAGATTCAACTTTAAAGCTGACCTAAAAATATTTACTGATAAGCGGTATATCAAACACCACTTATAGGGTACAATTACTGTTTATTGTAAATAGACCGTTATAGAGTGATGAAATGTAGCTGAACATTGCGTCAACTATTTATAATCGCTATAAGCACCAATGAATTCATTGTATTCATATTATTTATGACTCGGTAATTGCTCTTTATGAAACTATTCCAGGCAAGAATGTTACCTAAAAGTGGCACATTTAGCCCATTTATAATGCAAATATTCTTTACTCTACTTATTTAATCTGTAAATCCTTGAATTCAATAGTATTGAAATTGGTAAGCTGAGGTGTAGATCCAGTACTCCTTTATAATCTTATTTAGGCGTAAGTTCCCGTTGTATAGATTTGAGAACTGTAGCGTTTTGTAAGAGGCTTCCTTTTATAATCTTACTGTAGAGGCACTGGACCGAGTGTGGGTTCTATGTATGTAATTATGTCAAGGAAAAATACATTTGTGAGCAACTGTTTGAGTACTGTATGTAAATATAGGCTTTAGAAGTGCTAGAAATGTACAAAAATCCCGTTTTGAAAAACATGGTGCATTTGTCCTTGTAAATTGTAGGTATCTGATTAGTCATACTCGTTATCGCTCAATTTTTATCATTAAGTATGAGTTCTTCCGTTTGCATAAGATTATAAGTTATAAAGTTCATTTAAAGTCTTTAATATGTTTTTATACATTTCATATTGTAAATATAACTTTAGGTTGCACCTGTGATACCGTTTGTTTAACTGGGTGAAAATAGGAACATCAAAACAAAATAATAATATAATACAATATATATATATATAGGCCTATGCCTATCACAAAATTTGGAGGACAGCCAACAGCTTAACAATGTGGATCAAAGGACACATCAAAATTTTGAACTTTGGGGGAAGGGGGAATATTTGGCGCGTGAGCTCTGTGCAACATTAATGTAGAATACGTTTCTGCTTTAAAACATTTATCTCATAACCTAATTTAATGTTTCTATTATTATAAGTATATGTATCTTGTCATAAAATCTTTCCACTAAGTTTCCCAATAAATGTATCAAACACATAATCTTTCCACTAAATTTCCAATAATTGTTTCGGGTTGAATCGAAATCTTCATGAAAGTGAGGCGATAAGTAAAATCGACATATTTTTTATTTACAAATTATCAATTCAAGGGATGTAACTCTTCATTTAAATTTAATCTGAGTAGAAAGTAGGAAAGTTTAAGAGAGGTAATTAGTCACGTACAATCGTCTTTATAATCACTTAATTAGCATAAAGACAGGACTCCTGTAAAAACAAAGAAGTATACAAAAAAAACAAAACAATAATAACGGGTTGGTACTTGAAGGGAAAGATTCACCATTTGTTTGACCAATCGTACCTTGGTCCCAGAAACAGGAAGTTAAGCTGATCAATAATAGTGCTCACTGCTCAACGTCAAAATTTGAGCCTTTATTTCCATGTGTGTCCATTATAATTATCTGAAAGTACGGAGTAAGTTAAAAAAAAAAATAGTATGTTGAGTTGTCACTAGATGATTCTATAAGTTTACACTAGTTTTTGTTTTGCCTCTCTATTTTATGTTTAGTATTGTGATTGGCAGGTGTTGTTAAAGACAGAGTATGCTTACTCTTCTTGACAATTGGTGATACTTTTCATTATAAAATGCTTCCTCATTTTTATGGGTGTAATATTTTTTTATCATTAAAATAACTTTTCTGAGCAGTTTCCTCCCTTGAGAAGTGTTAAAATTAGATAAAAATATGTTCATCAGTTACCTCCCTTGAACTAATAAAATTGAACAGTCCAATGTCACTGTTTTGTTTTTTACAATACATTTCATGTTCTATTTTAAATGGTTTTTACCTGACAATTTGTTGTGAATGTTGAGTAACAATGACGGGTGTAGCGCCAGGCAGGGTATTCTTTTAGACACCGTTTTACATTATGAAATACTGATCACTTGTGATTGATATACATACTCATGTCAAAAGTTCATTAGCTTCTACCGATGATTTGCCACTGTTATTTTGTATTTTGTGCTTCGTTTTGCGGATTGAATAGTTATCGATACAGAAATAATAAGTGGAATATATTCAAGTAAGATGTATATTTGAAGAGGATTATGCGATTTTCGCACAGTGCTCGTATTTCTGAAGGCTATTAGTATTTACATAAACACGTATTCAAGACCCAAACCAAATGGTGAACCATGACCTTTAAAAAGAAGTATGTTCCAGGGAAGTGTGAAGTCCTTAGTATTGAAATGATATCGACATGTATTGTGGTAAGTACAGGAAAACGTTAATAACAGGTATTGACACATTTACACATCTATAACTGGGTGAGGTTGGCCTACATTGGCAATATGTCTTAAACTATAAGGCCTATATACATGTAGGTCTACTACAGCAAACAATGTAAAGGACTCTTACTGCCAGTGAACAATCTACAGGTTTGAAATAGCTCACTTGTCATGTTATGTTCTTTCTCTTCATGTATCTTTTTAAGAAAACTGAACCACACCTTGAAAAATTGTGCCCAATGGCAGTTTACTGGGGTTAGACTTAGTTCATATCGTGACTAGAAAGATTTTCAATGATGCTTAATAGTAATTTAATTACTTTTGAATATTGAAATGTAATGATTTATTTTCTATATAGTATTATCCCAGAGATTGAGTCAAAACGCTGGGAAAGATCTCTAAAGAAACAAGAATTATCTCCCTTGAACCAAAGCAAGGATGTCTATGTTAGTCAATGCTCCGTTAATAAGAAGTGGGAGGAGGACCAGGTAGCTTTTGATGTTCCAGACGAGCTTAGTGCAAGGTAGTTGTATGTTGAAATTTGATGAGATATTTCTAAAGCAGGGGTATTCAGCCCTTTTCTTCCTGTTACCCCTTTCAGGATCATTGATGAAAATGAATCCTATGAATCCTAACTATTTTGTGTTTTTCTCGTAATGCTGTCCCTGCAATCTTTTTTTGTGTCTGAAAATAAAGCCTGACTGAATAGAACGACCTAAATTTTAATTATGCCAGACTACAAAGCGCCTGTTCTATAACGTCCATGAATGGGGCACAATATCATAATTCGCCCAAGACGTTATAAACCACTTACTGCCCATGACATATTATCGCAATTTGCCATCAACATATCCCAGATTTAATGATTTTACCCCAGATGATTTTCAAATACGGCAAATTAATACAAATTATTTATTTTTTACATCATAGAATAACACAATAACAGAAACAAAGAAAGAAGAGACTTTGACCTAATTGCACAATAAATAGACTTGATATACAGTAAGGTTTGGTGGTATAAGGAATTCTATCTTAACAAGTTAGTATTATTATACATAATGTTATGTTAAAACATAGAGCATTAAACGCCAGTAACCAGAAATATGAAGAAAACTTGAAGATAAAAATAAAGCAGTTTAAACAAGCAACAAAGAAAAACTGCTAAAACATAGGCTACTATACAATACATGTAAATCAAACTATACGGGGAAGTGATCAGAAGACAATGTGCAAATATGTTTCCATGTCAGATTGAATTGTAGTTTGTGATTCAGTTTTCGTCTGAGATGCAAGGACTCCTTAGAAAATATATGTCCCAAGTATTCTACTTCTTTAGCGAAGGAAGAGAGTAGAAGTATCCAACAATAAAAGTGCAACAGCACAATATTCCAAGGTAGATAGGTAGGCCTACATTTATACCAAACTTTAAAAAGAGAAGTAGATTTTGAAGCTGTATATTATGTTCAGGCGGTTGAATACCCCGTCGTATTTTTTCTTCCTTATGGCGAATATTCAATAAACATTTCGTCATGAAAATTAAGAGTTCATAAACCATGTAATGGACCCAATTCTGACATTGCCGTCGAGACGACTTCATCATCTGACATTTTTATGTAAAGGAAGAGTTTATCATCATGAATATGATAATGTGATTTGCTATAAAATAAGAAGAATACAAGAGATATAAATATATGCATATCATGTTATTTCAATCAGAGCAATTTTACAATACGTTGCCTACATTAGCACTATTTCACAAACGTAATTTGTCTCGTAGTGAAGACAATTGTCCATAAACCTGTCATATTTGAATTGTTATGGGATAAAGTTCTATATATTTACAAAATATAAAGCATAAGCGGCCTTCGACATATTATGCACATCCGGGGTTGTTTCTTTAGCTGAACTCCCCAATTGACGTTATTTTTGCGTCAGATTTTTGCGGTAATGGATAATATAGACCCTATGTCAGCCAACCTTCGTAGACAGTAAATTGTTATTGATGCCCGGATGTACACCAATATCTTGAACGACTATACCTAAAAATGTCAAGTATTTATATCTAGAAATCAATATCGACAAAGTGATTTTGTGCCTCATTTCTCCGATGCAGACCTACATATTTGATTTCAACTAAAACTGTGACTGATTTCATCTACCTGAAAATGAGTTTGTAACTAGTCTGTAAAGTTTATATGCCGTTGAAAAAGACTTATAGAAACAAACACTTGACGTTCTAAAGGTAGAACCCGTAAGTTGTCGTAAGCGGGTTTAAATCCAGTTTTGTTTTGGTTTGTTATATTATATGGAGCTATGCATATCTTAGAATACAATATTCTCTCTCCGTCAACATCAACCCGTAAATATATAAACGGCAAAAAATCATCCTGCTCATAAATTTTGGCATGTCATCGTAATCTTTTCATTCCATCTTTATTGCCCAGCGCACGTTTTCCTCGTGCATTTTGAGTATTTACTCTTTGTATGTTGCTCACAGTCCAATAATGACAACGGTTGTCCGGGTTCTGCACACCTTCTTACACACTCCGCATATTCATATAGCATGTCTTGATTGTTTTCCTTCATTATTGCAAGTTTGAATGGAAGTGTGACATCTTTAAAGTAGTTATGATGTGTACGGATGAATTCATTGGTGAAGCAGCATATGAAGTTCATTTTCGCCAGTAACTCTTTAGGTTCGAAGTCTGCAACGTAATTCTGACAAACTGTTGACGAGTTTTTACCTTGGCACATGATAGAACAATAGTTCGGCGATGTTGCTTGGGATGCAATGAGTGTAACGAAAGTCAGGTGTAAAATAACTGAACAGAAATCCTGAAAATAGAAAAAAAATATCTGCAACCTTTGATTAATAAAACAAGATATAAGTAGCCTTCACAGCTGTGGTCAGCCTATCTCAGGCGGACCAACTAAAAGCAAAAACTTCCAATACAGCTCGAAACCATCTTTCTGGAATAGTGGTCTTCTTCATACCATAGCTAAATAATTACTTCTATCTACTCCAACTAAATAGAACACATGTTTCAACGGGGAATGAAAGAAAACGTCAATCACTAAAAAAAATTGGTTCTATTGTTAGTAAATAAAATAGATATTTCAACATTAACATTCAAAAGCGTTTACTATCCACATGGGGAGAAAGAAAATTGATAATATTTTTTAAAAGAAATAAGCCCCATTTTCCATTAAAGTAAGATGTGATCGTCCACACAATAAAATGGTGTTCAACAAAGCTCTCCTTTGTGTCCTATTTCTTATAGTTTGTTATGACCTTGTCAATTATAATTATTCAATTATAGCATACTTAACACATTAATGGAAAAGAAACGTAAATAAGTAAAGCGATTTTCGGGTGGTTTACTAGTAAAAAAAAAATTTTGAAAACAGATATTTTTACTCTCTGTGATATGATGAAAACCAAGTCACATTTTTACTTGAAGTTATAAAAACTTGTTTTTGATGATGGTTTGACTGTGATAGGGGAGGGTGTGATTGACTTTACATTATTATAAGATCATATTTTCATTTTTTAAATGTCGTCGTATCATGAAACATGTATTTCTCACCATCCGATTTAAAATTTTTATTTTTATACAACTATAAGTAAATACACTTTGAACAGTGCATAACATATTGGATGATTTCGTAAATATCTTCGGTTCATTTAGCTCATATAATGAACAAGGATGTTCCTGAATGTGCAAACTATCGCGAACGTCATCGTATAAACGACCCTGTGTATGTACGTATATTAGATCAAGGTCAAGCAATAATTTATACTATCCCTATTTTAATTGAGTTATGCTGATGATTTAACTGGGCATGTCAATGACTGAACTATTTCCCTGAAGCGAATATCCTACTGATAACATGGGCTATATTACAGTACATGTTAATTTGATTACAAGATAGATATGATACATCATCAGTAGTTTGTATTTTGATAAACCTGATTAAACGATAAGTTTCATAACCAACAATATCGTATGTACATTACGGTAGATGTAGGATGGTGTGACTTAAACGTTTCCTATTGCTTCCCACGCTATCAACACGAAATTTGTGACATTATTAAGTCACAACTGCCCCAATCAGTAATGTTGATCACATAATACGGGGTAATTCAATTTAGTTGAAATAAATCAATAAATAAACTAAGTACTAACGATCCAAACCGCAAAAACGAAACCGGAAATAAAAAAAAAATTATTGGCGAAACATTGGTAGCAGCTTATAAACTGTAAGCAAAAGGAAGTATATTAATCATAAGTGAGTAAGTACACCCTGCCTGACACCACATCAACCAATGAACAAAACGAATTTGGGTAGATTGTTTTCGGACTATGTAAGTCATGAAAAATAACATCTAAATTTATTTGTTTATGAATTGGTCTTGTCAAATATTTTGACGCATTTGAATACTTAAAAATGGCGTCATCATGGTGGTTACAAGCAAATTTCTGAAACATTTATCTTTTTCCTAATTTATGAATGAATCTTCGTGGTTATGACATTTTGATTAATAAGTGTCCATCTTGCGCTATTTTCGTAACTGAACAACTACGACGGTAATTTTTTTGAGTCATCTCCATCGTCGGAAAAAAACGGTTGTAAAAATCGGTTTGTGAGGCGTGCTATTGTAACCTTGACGTCATTGGTGATGTTCATTCTCTTCATCTTTTTGTCACTCTGTTTACCAATAAAAGATGAGAAAACAGAACAAGTTTTTACGGTCTTTCTCAAAGGTTCCATCACCGTATCCCTAGAATGGGTTTTGACAAGAAATATGACGAATGGGGATGTTTGGAACCAATCCGATCAGGTGCATCATCAAAAACAATCCGATTTTTTTGACAACTGCGCTTTCTGGAATTTGACAAATAAATCTCATTTACTTTACTTAAGTCCGGAAATCACATCCGATAAATATTAATTCATCCATATAGTTTATGATTACGTTTTATTATTTTTATTATCCTTTACCTTTAGTAACTCATACGTAACTTTCCTTATAATTTACGTAAAATTATAATTTTCCTGTATGATTCTATAGTATTGTATTGCAATGTGAACTGAAAGATATCTTAATTCAATCTTATAATTGTTATGGTATTCAAAATTTCCTTATTCATAATCGTGACATGTTTTCCTGTTTATTTAAGATATAGAGGAAAGAAAATGATACCAAAACATTATTCAGCTTTTTTAACATCCTTGAATGCAATCAAATCCAAAAATGACAATTTATAGCTACATCTAAAACATCTTTTACGTAATATGTATAAAACGAACACAAAGAGAAAATTGCCAAAGGGCCACTCTGAGGTCCGCGCTTTACTGCATAATCTCTTGTTTATTCTCTTTCTGTAAAAGAGCCAATTATTCTTTTATTCCCTTTCCAATTCCACGATAACGCTTTAATTTTTTTAGAAGGGTTTCGAAGGTTTCTGATAGGTCCGCGCTCGGGGACGTTATATCGTGACGGGTGCTGCTGGCAAGGTACATCATAGTACATTTCTATTGCTTGGTCGTATACTGATGTATTTATGCTAATAAAAATGATTTAAAAAGAATATGATAGTTTTTGCTTGCCACATAATGAAAGGATAACAGTAATATTCGAGCATTAATATAATTGTAATGTTGTAGTTAGTCTGTTAACATAACTAATTATTTCTCATATAATATAAGAAGATTGGCTCTAAGCTACGAACGGTTAATTAGGTCCTCGGGCTTATAATCAGATATTGTCTTCAAAATCAATATAGGTTTCATTGGTGTGTATAACTTTCAGTTATTGCTTCAAAATATATGCCTTTGCCACACTTTTGTAGAAAAACAATACCGAATTGAATGGAAGATTTTCTTTCAGGAGGTTCATATTCGTTGTCGTAGACTGCAATCATTCTTTCCACGAGGCAAATAACCTACTCCCTAGAAATACAATGCTAAAAGAACCAACAAGACAATGCAGAGCTAAGGGAGTATACGCATATAAACATCTGCTACTACAACTGAAAATATTATCTTGCCTTTTTAATATAGAATTGAAAAAACTTAAGAACCTTGGCGTAATTAGCTCTAACACAGAATTACATTGTTATCAATTTTGTATGGCGTTCACTATATATGTTTTATATAGTATAGTTCGACAAGCATATATATATATATTTATTTAAACGTTCTCCAAGATATTAGGTATGAACTTTTAAATTTGAATGGATGGGAATAAAATATATGAAATTAAAGATGTTCTTCTTTTCTGGTTGTTAAATGAGCCATGAAAATATGACACTAAAAGCATTGTTGATTTGATCCCTCAGGTTTTTCAAACAATCTCATATATATACATAATATATGTCAGACATGGATTAAATTCGTTTCGTACCTTTCCGCGATAAAATTCAAAAAACTAGTTATAAACTTTTTTTAATGACACATTCTCAAAGAAGAAAACATTCATTATCACAAGGATAATAAAACATTGTCACTTTTTGTGACTTTGGCGATTATATATTCGTTTCTCATAGATCACATGGTAATATTTTAATTTTCTTAAAACACCCCTTTGTAGTTTTCGATCAAAAAGTATATAAAACTCTATTTTTGTTTTGTTTAAAACTGAAAGCAGAGTATCAAGGTGTGTTTCGTCCACATTGTAATGACCCGAAAGGACAGGTACGGCTCCGTACCGATTAATTAATGGTCCATTATACTGAAGCCGTGAAACATTAAATATGATGGGCTTGTACTATTCTCGTTTTTATACTATTGTCTGAAGCAATTAGGGAGGAAATAGTTTTGTTGGTATCTACATCTTATCTATTTTAGTCTAATTTACATCCACTTCTCACACAATACTTCTAGTGTGTACATTTACCTAAAAATAGTCACGCATTCGATTAACCTATACTCGATAAAGATCCCTGATGAATATCAAATAGAAAATTAGCCTAAACACATCGTACTTCAGATGCATACAATATTGCCACAATATAATAAGAAGGAAACCTAAATTTTAGACGGAAAGGCTGAAAAGATTCACAAAGATAGTATCATTTGATTCAAAGGGAGAATGACCAAAAATATATCACGGTACATTTGAAGTTCGTTTAACCCACTATTTCAAATTCAAAAAGACAAAAATACATCAATAAAATGATGGATTGGGTGGTTAGGTTTGAAGGTTAAGGGAGATATCACGAGGCGAGTTTAAATTCAATTTAATAAAAAGTGATTAATTAATTAAGTCATATTGCCAGATACCTTTTGACACGAAACTGTTCAAGTTGAAGAGCCCAAGTTAGTTTTTTTCTCTAATTACATGCACTTTTTGTAAAAACTCTGGCAAAGGTCACAGACACAGGAAGAGTATTATACATTCATAAAGTATATTAAATTACATGATATACTTTAAAGAAATTAAACTTGTGATTTTTTTAACAATAAGGTTTATAAACATTAAATTAAATTTGTATAGGCCTACTAAATAGATGAGGTAAACGCTTTCCGGAATGAGCGCACCTTAATTTTACTCCATTGCTATACAGGGTTCAAGAGGTATCGCATCGCAGTTTGTATATTGAATTTATCAAATTACCATTCATAAAATTGATTTCAAAGGCGGGAAAACCAAGGCCAGATACGCATGCGCAGATAAAAGTATTATGAAAGCTGATAGCTAGTCATGCAAATACATTATGAAACCTTGTCATGCATTTGCCATGATTTTCTGGGTACTCTGCCCGTCTGCAGATTAATTACGAATAATTTAACAATTATCAGATGGATTGTTACTAATATAAACCGCTTCCAAGCATTCCTAATACACCGCACCCAACTTAGAAGTATCAGTTTGTACCAAATTATTAATTAGAAGTAATTCCATATCAGCAATATAATAACATTCATGATCGTCAAATTAAAAGAAATGAAGCAAATGTCAATGAAAAGGGTGCAACAACTGCACAATGTCATGCGGTTCAGTTGAACAGATGCTAGATCTGCTTTCGTTTAAATTATAGAAAGTATTATGAAAGTATTTCTGAAGTTTGGTTAACAGCTATGACATTGAATAAAATTACTATTGTTAGTAATAATGAAGGCTTATTAAGTATTCGGTAATTACTGCAATTACTTATAATTACTCGGAATTTCAACCGAGATACATACCAACATAGGATTTTACTTCCGAATTTGTTCCTCGGATCGAAAATTTAGATTCACCATGAGTTACATGTAAGTTTATTCTGATTTCTAAATTATTTTACTGTTCAAATGAAAATCCTAGACGATTCAAAAACTCGTAATGCTTCAACCACAAATTGCTAAGCAATTTTTGATTCCCAGAGAAACATTGAATATGCTTCATTCTGCCAAAAATACTGTAATATTTGATACATTTTTGATAAAGTCTTTTTTTAAAAGTTACATTTCGTTGAAAAGATCACACTGTGATAATTTGATGTAATAATAACAAATTTTGTTTAAAATGTAAATAATATTAGCACGTGTGACCGGCTCTCTGCATGGATACTGTGGGCTGTATCAGAAATCCTTAAAAAGACGAGATTTAAAAATATACCATCTACTCACCATCTTTACTCTATACATTTTGAAGTTTCACTTTTAAATCACTTAAGTGAGAGATACACTTTGTTTTTCTTATTCCACTTAGTCTCCGTAACTGAATGAACACAAGATACTGTGATGACAATCTTGGGACAGTCTAAACGTTTTGCTTCGATGCTCTTGGTTTTATGGGAGCGTGGCCCCTTAGGCTACCTTTAAATAAATATATAGTCCGAAGGTAAGAAGATTAATTAACTAAGCTGTCACTATTGGATGTCGCACAAGGTGAATACCTCTACTTTTTATTGCCTTATAAAAATTACAATAGGTATCACAGGTAACCCTATTTATATAATAGAATAAGTTAGACTAAAAACTCTTTTATATAATCAACACTTTATAGGCCTAGACGAGCACACGACCTTCACATATCCCCGTAAATCGATCTTCATCAATTTCTGTAAAAAATATATCGTGTGATATCGTCTTTAGCTTCTTGATCTAAAATGAACTTAAGCTGGACATCAACAGGTCGTCACCTTATAATGCCGCAAACAAATTATTTTCTCGAATCTCATAAACATTGTGTTTTACATTGATTCACAAATCAAAACTTATGGAAAATTAATAACATTCCAGCTGAACAAACTTATATTGATACAAATTAATACCGAATACAATAGTAATACGAGCTTGCCCATTATATTCACCCACGGTTATTCATGAAATATGGTAATGAATTTAATTTAACGCTTAATATTAATAAAAAATGTATTTGTCAACTTCATATTTCTATTGGGTTAACATATACAGATATGAACAATGATTCATGTTTTTAAGTTGTTATCCATTATGCCGCCTACAATGTCATGTAGATTATAGCAGCGACAAATATTCAAATGACCACTGCTTTGATGTTTATTTCATGTCAAACAATTAAATATTACTACAATTATATTAGAATTATAAGACAGTTGCGCTCGGTTTTATCCAAATCATGCAGAATCAATAGGTAAGGATATAAAGATTAGAATGATCTTTTAGATAATATGAAACTCCCGGGCACTAGCTATAATAGGACCTCAACAACGCCTCGCCGAAATCGGAGTAGAGTTAGAGTACTTCGGACTAACCGTCTGGAAACCATCCTTATTTAAAGTGATATTATCACTGGACTTGACCCAAACACCAACCAAAATTTTATTTCTTGGTAAAGTTCAACAATTTGATAATCTATAGTGGACTTCGGGTAACGGGATGAATAGCCAAAATTTGTGGGGACTGTCACGTTAGCCCCAGTCTGGCATTTATATTACACCTCCCCATTCATCAGAATCAAATTGCACTTTGACCTTTTGACGCTGAGGGGGGGTGTCCAGTTTCAATGAATGAAACGATTTTATTGACCCATTTATAGCGTGAAGGTGTAATGATAGTATTTAGCACATGACATCAAACAAGAGCATTACGTCAAAATTGACAGTGAACACTTTTTCTTTTTCCCATAATTTGAAAGTTCATGGTAACATTATGGAGATTTGATGAAGCGCACCTTTTTGACATACACTGTACTTAACACCTTTACATGCATCATCCCATCTATATTGTCAGCTTGTCGTATTAGGTGAAAGAACGCACGTCATATACTCATACGTTAAATGAACAATCATAAGTCATGACGTGGGGATTGTGCATCATTTCCTATGATGCCCCGATGAACTTTATTTCCACGTAATCAAACTAATAAATATTGTTTTCATCTCACGGACTGAATAAAGCATCATCTTTACAATACTTCATGAAAAGTTAACATTAATAATAGAACGCGCAACTGACAAAATGTGGGCATCTCCCAGAGATTCTACCAAATCACTGTATCCGACAATAGATCAAATTATGGCCAGGCCCGTAGACTGGCCAGTACTCCTGGTCTACGGACTTTCACGGAGTATTTTAGATTCGAGATTATTTTTGTTAAAACACAAGTTATAATACGTTACATTTTTATTGCCGTTTTAGTTTAAACGTAGTCGGGTATGTTTTATGGTAAAACGTTGAACAAATACTCCCAAGTTAATTTTCTGGGTTTTTTTTTTGATAAAATATTTATCCATTTTTCCTACTTTGTGTTGTTTGATTCATATGAATACAATTTAGGATAATAGATGTCTATTGGTTAGCATTTATAATGAACCAATCAAATCTTTTGAATTTTGAGACGGGACAGATTACGATCCAGTATCAGGCCAATAATTTTGTTACCAACGACTTTTTCTTTTCTGCAGACTTTTTATGATTTTCAACGAACCCAATTGTATCAAATTGTCTATTCTAATGTAATTAAATATGATGTCTGGTTTCATCCCAGCTCATTCAACTCACAATGGTCCAGCGACTACCAGTTGGTCTGAGGTAAGAAACCCATACCAAGTGTGACGGGTGTAACAGGTGTGATAGGAGCATGAGTTTAGTGTTATTTAAAACCAGTTCTAAACTTTCACTAAAAATTCTGAACTTCCACGCAATGAACGCACCATTCGCATTTGCCTCCGAACGTGTTTGAACTATAGCAATTTCTTGTGGTTGTTTAAGATCAAAAATGAAGTGGGAAACAGTTTTTTCTGTGGTGTCATTGCACTAATCAGTCTTCATTAGCTTCAAAGCTAGACTCCACGTTGTACTAGTGCTTCTGATGCTATTTTCAACCCCATATGAACTATAAATAGCGCATTAATTTCCCACTGCAGGCGAGAAGAAATTTTTTCGATCATATTTTTCGTAACCTGTCAATGACACTGACACTAAATCAGAAATAGCTCTAATAACAAGTGGTCGGGAGTTTGGACTGAAAACCACAAATGAGTTCTTTGTGATGAAGATTTTGCTAAAACTGTCTTCAATCAAAAATTTAACCCAGAATAAGATTAAAATAGACCCTAGTCCAGTTGTGATATTGTGGCCAATTAATTGTTTCATTCAGATAAAAACCATAATTTTGGGAATACAGAACTGTTATTCTCTAGTTAGTTTGATACGAAAGGGGTGACGAAGATTGATATCGGTTACGGGAAATATAAACTCACTGACCGAGAAATCAATATTTAAGGGAATTGACCTAAAATGAGAAAAGAAATCAATTAGTTAATCCTGGTGTTTTTCTATAACTTAACGTCACATCAAAAAGGTTAAACTCAATGTGTTCAATTAAGGAAGGGGTTAGCAATAAAGGGTCTCTTTTCCTATCAATATTAAATCAATATTATCTTACATTAGCTTTTCTCCTGAGCCAGTCAGTCTAAAAAATCGATTTAATTCAAGATAATATGATCGTATCTCAACTTTGTTAAAATTTAATTCATGATTTCACATATTTCAAAATAGATTCGTAACAGCTGTTCCCTCGAGTGGGTGTTGGAAGTAAATTGAGTATATAATTTAAAATCATTCACATTAAATATAATAGTCAACTACCAAACCAACAACACAGACACTACTAACTACTACTAACAGATACCTAGTTTGCGATATCAGCATCCACTGGAGGCGAACTTTAACTAGGCAACTACCAACCACCAACATTATATATCACAATATGTACCACCACCTTTCTGAAAATAACGATCAATCTTTTATAATATTTCAACTTACTGTGTGATTCAGTAATATGATCTGCATCTTGCCTCCAGAATCTCTAGGTTGCATAGCCAGGTTCCCACCAAAGATTTAGAATTAGTTCATGTTTTTTTTTAAAAGTACATGTAGTGCACCCGCTTAAGAGATTTATGTAAATCATCTACATAGGGTGGAAATTAGGTTAAGCTGCCGATATTAAAATTATCTGCAAATATCTATTCACAAATCTACCTAGGATTACTACGGCATGCGATGCTTTTGATAGATATCATGAAATAGAATGAATACTCAACCAAGCAACATGTATAAATGATTTTAAAGCGCGACCTGATAACCATCTATGCAATTATTATGAAATACTTAATCTTAGTAAGTATATAAATCATATGAAAACCTATCATCAACAGATTTTCTCAGCTGATAAAAGGGATTAAAAAGAGGTTTTCTGACATTTCGGTAACTCACGACTGATGAAGATGTTGCGACTCTTTTTTTTTCGTAATTTGAGGTAACGTGACCTAGATTTGAAGCTTGTATCGCAAACTGTCTGTTGACTAAACTGGAATTGAAAGGAGACGTCATCTAGAAGTATCTCTTGAATGGTGTACATACACGCTGAAGTAAATTTCTGTACGCGATACACATACATAAAATTGACCATTTACATATACATGATACTCATGCATACACTTTACATTACATCATGTTACATGATTCTCATGTAATCCATTTAATTGTACACGATACTCATGCATAAAATTTACATTACCATGACTCTCATGCAATCAATTCAAATGTACATGATACTGATGCATACAATTAACATTAACATGATTCTCATGCAATCAATTCAAATGTACATGATACTGATGCATACAATTAACATTAACATGATTCTCATGCAATCAATTAAATGTACATGATACTGATGCATACAATATACATTAACATGATTCTCATGCAATCAACTTAAATGTACATGATACTGATGCATACAATATACATTAACATGATTCTCATGCAATCAACTTAAATGTACATGATACTCATGCATACAATATACATTAACATGATTCTCATGCAATCAACTTAAATGTACATGGTACTGATGCATACAATATACATTAACATGATTCTCATGCAATCAATTTAAATGTACATGATACTGATGCATACAATTAACATTAACATGATTCTCATGCAATAAACTTAAATATACATGATACTCATGCATACAATATACATTAACATGATTCTCAAGTAATCAATTCAAATGTACATGATACTGATGCATACAATATACATTAACATGATTTTCATGTAATCAATTCAAATGTACATGATACTGATGCATACAATTAACATTAACATGATTCTCATGCAATCAATTTAAATGTACATGATACTCA